AAAAAGTAAACTAGGCAATATTGACTAACCAATTCCATCCAGGCTATGTCAGACTCATAATAATCATTTGAAAGGAAAGCATCAGCCTTGCTATGTAGCAGCTTCTTCAAACTACACTTGGAAACAATGCGTTATTGACCAACAACTTAAGTAGTTTAGCATGTAGCTGAAAATTGACCCCTTAATAAGGGAATGGATCAAAGAACAATATACCTTGTTGAGTTGGTAATGTCTCCAGCTTTATGCAATAATTTAGCAGATTTTGCAAGAAGAGACTTGTACTCTTGAGAATAAGGAACTATATACAGATCCTTAGAAGAAACTACTTTATCATTGGACAGACCAGAATCTAAAATAAATTCACTGTGCCTTTTAATAACAGTGAAATAGCTTGTTGCCTCTGTCTGTTGATCCTTTGCTAAATTGTCATTCCATAAATTGAACTCCTGCAAAACACAAGTTTTCATCTTTTTTATAAATCAAACCAAATGTTTTGATAAAATAGCTTCTTTACATGACGACAAAAATCCTTTCTCACTATATGGGATTGGTTCCATTGATCAGACAACATCATGATATTCTATCACAAACCAAACAAATCTGAATTTTTCTATGGTACCATTTTGTCCATGTCAGGGGGTAGAAATTAGCACCGGCAGGTTTAAGGATTGGAAATGCTGCTCTGTATTCCAGACCCTTCCACTCACTAACTGTCCTAGTTGCTTTAGAGAGCAGCCTTATTGCTGAGTCTGCAGTTGTCAAGAATGCCTCATCATCATCAAGGCAAGACCTGCGAAGATATGGCAGAGACTGCAGTACCATACTACATTGAAATGATATGGCAGAAACTGCAGTATCATTTGTTTTACAAGAACTAGGCCAATTTGTAATAAAAGAAACTAGCCAATATACAGTAGAAGAAAGAAATTCAGTAGCAGGGATTGAAAGAGACTTCAATGATATTCATTTTCTGTTGTTAATAGGAATGTTGATTGTAAGACCCACGTAATGCTTCAGGGATTTAGTTCAGCGTATCATTTGTCTTCAAGTGGCAGCAGCAAGAATCATACAACTACATAGATAAATTGATCAACAAAACTCAGGTAGTTAGTGGTGAATTATTAAAATAATTTTATACTACTTCTAACCATGAAGAGTATATAGAGGAAGCTTATTATGGTTTACAAACTTTACAACACGAAAACCAGCACCAGTGCACCGATACCAACCTTACAACTGAGTCAAGATTCCATAGAACGAACTAAAATTTTATGATTAAATTTTCTTATAGTTAGTAGTATGTAGCCATTCTAATACACTACAATTCTTATCTATCTTAGAAGTTTCCATAGACTTAGAGCAAACTCAACTGCTCAAAGAAAATGACATTACTTAAAAGAGACCGGAAATTCTTGGATTTAGATGCGTCAAGTACCTGTGCTCCATATCATAAATTATAGTGATGCCAATCCAATACTGACTGAATTCTGGCTCTCCTGAAAACATCGGGATACATGAAACATCAACAACAAAAGACATTGAAACACCTAAGTTATGTGGAATGTGTGTAAAGTTTCCTTAAACACCAATAAATTTATAGACTTCTATCATAACTGAAGAAGCATAAACATATAAAATGAGAAACAAAATGAGAAGCATAAACATATAGACTTTTGTCATTCAATTTATTGAGTTGCAGTTTTTATATTATATACAATAAAGTATATTTAAGGGCTTGATCTCATGCAATTTTTAATCTACTGCAGCAGATGATCTTGATGCATGATTTTGATATTAAGCTACCTTTCTTTTAGTGCCATAGTTAGGAGCTACTGAATATAACAACTTTGAAAGACAATATTGGAAATTTGATTTATATAAGCGATAAAACATCTTAATGTTTCAGACCAATGACTCAACTTCTGCAATTTCTTTGACAGAATTCCAATTTTAAAAATGCTTAACTATGTACAACAACAAAATAGAAATCCAAGATTCAAATCAAGCATTTAAGTTCTCCAACAACAATGACAACAAATCGAGAAAATAGGGGAAAAAAATTGCTTACCTGCAAGCAAAACCGAGAGTGGCTGGAGATGGAGGTCGGAGTCGAACGCCCAGTGGTGGCTGCCGGTGACGCTACAGGGGGCCGGAGTGCGTCGATATTGTGCTGTTGCAGAAGCAGTTGAGTTGTCGCTCGCGGTCGCCGGCGTGTCGTCGGAGGCCAGTCAAGGCTATTACAAAATCAAGAACTAAGAACATATACACTTTCAACCATTCGAAATTACATAAAAGTGACAATTTCAATCTAACTTATGAATATATTACATCAAAGTCCATAAACCAAAATTCAATTACATCCGAAAACCAGCCATATCACCTGTGTCACATTTAAAGTAAAACTATAAAAATGTTGCAAGTTAATGAATGTCCTAATTCTACGAGTTCATGTCAAACTCCATGCTTCAAAACTCCATGAACTTTGCTACACCATGCTAGTTTCAACTTTGCATCATGGACCATTGGATCAAACTATGTTATAGCCCTGCTCATTCAATTTAACAAAACCGAATGAAAAAATCGAGCCTAAATAATATCACTGCTGTATCAAAGCTTTACCAAACAAAAACTGCCTCACACTCAAAATAGAGAAATCAAGGAAAACATTGGAAACACAAAAATATAAAATCAGAGCGAAAACTCAAAAGATGGGAATTCCCAAACTAACCTCATACCAGATTTAATCTCAACCTTCAACTTTTTGTAACTAACTTTAATCAAAAGGTTAAGATTTTCTATTTCCTAACAAACTCATAACAAATTAATACAGAAAAACTCACTGGAGATTCATTCATTCTGGATTTTGCAGAAGAATCACCAAAAAATAGCTAAAACACCCTCGTTCTTCTCATATTCTACTTCACCTTCATTCTTCAACAACCATTGGAGAATAAGAAAATACCAAAAAAAAAAACTCAGAGCTTGATCTTTCTCTGAACCACCTCAATCCATTCTCATTATTCTTCATAATCGCTGAAGAATCACACAAAAACCCTCTCAAACTATCTCTTCTCCTCTCATCTTCATCATTCTTCATCAGTTACTCGAGAAAATTTCTCTCTGCATTCTCTTTCCATAACTGTTTCTCAATCTGCATCTTCACCATCTTCCGCAAATTCTTCACAGTTCCTCATTCATCACACCGTAACCCTCAACAACAAAGTCCTCAATGCTCTACTCTCTACTTCAATCTTCGATCATCATTAAGTTTCAGCTTCACAAAAAATGCAACGCACGTCTGAGTAGAATTCATTGAGAGACAAGTCAGAGACCATGATATGGTGAGCGATTAGCGTATAGCTTGAGGAATCAGAGAAGAGGGAGTTGTATTTTTGTGAGAAGATGAAGACTCAATTCTTTAACCCTAACCCCAATTCAATTTTATTTGCATTTTCTTTTAGTTTTAGATAATTAGAAGTGAGCTAAATCTGACTAAAAATGAAAATGTGTTTTGTTTTTTTTTTTTTATCAATTAATTAATTAATTCATTATTATATATAACATAGCGCTTTTTAATAAATGCTATTATATAGGTAGTCAAATAATAGCGTTTTATACAAAATGCTATCTTAAAGAAGTTTAATAATAGCGTTCTGGTACAAAGTGCTATCATAATTACATAGTCTGTATTATATAATAGCGCCCGATTAAAAAGTGCTATTATAAATGTGTTTTTTCCATTTTAATAGCATTTTTTTTAAAAGTGCTATTAAATTAGGTGATACAAAAAATCATTTTTGGCGTAGTGATAATTTGAATTCTAATATATACTGTAATTCAAAAAAATTGGTGTACTATTTTAAAATTTTCAATTTTGACAGATATATGAAGAATAAGATACAAGAAAAGGAAAAGGCTAGGTTTCACTTTTTCAATAGTTTTTTCTTTCGTAAGTTGGTTGATATAGACAAAATTACACCCGATATTTGTGACGGAAAATCAGCATTTCAGCGTGTTTCTAAATTGACAAGAAAAGTGAAATTATTTGAAAAAGATTATATTTTCGTACCAGTGAACTTCAAGTAAGTAACTATTAAATTTTTACTTTTCTTCGATGTTTGTAGATGTATTTATGTTTCTTATAAGAATACAATTTTGGCCATGATTGTAGTCTTCATTGGAGCTTAATAGTAATTTGTGATCCTGGTGAAGTGGTTAATGTTAATGGTGAGTTTTTGGATTTTTCAAATCAAATAATATCTTTTAAACATATTTTTTTCTTAGTGATTATGTTATGATTCATATTTCAGATATTGAGTTGGACAAATCACTTAAGATAGCATGTATATTGCACATGGATTCTATCAAGGGATATCATAATAATCTGAAAGACATTTTACAAAGATATTTTAAACTTCTCAACTATACACTTCCAATCCATTTCCCATACTTTATGTTTTACCTAGAAATGAAGAACAAACTGGTAAATGAATTATTTTTAAGTCATTAATTGTTATGCTCTTCATGTTTATAAGTATTAGTTCTATGAAGTTTAATTTTGAACTATGAAGTTTGAACTTGTTTCTCTTCTTTTTTTTATCATTGTTCATTTTGTCAACTATTTTTTTGGCACTCCTTATATTTGTTTGTATTCTCACTTTAAAAGTATAACTCTGATTTATATATTGACTTATCTTCTGGAATCGATAGTTATTTGTGGGAAGAATGGAAAGATATATTTTATTTGAAAATTGTTCATTTGGATTAAATGAACACATGATTTTTTTAATAGAGCTAGCCACTAGGGGAATGAATGTGATAGCATAAACAACAAAAATGAGCAAAGTGATAAAGTATAAACTCATAATAACTTAACTAATTTATCTTTTTTCTTTGTTTTTTCACAGAAAGATTTAGATTTTAGAGATCATCTCATGTATATGACTACAACTACCAACTATCGGCAAGAGACTAAAATTTCATCACAAACAAATTGTTCAATGCATGATTCAAATGGCGTAGAGATATCAAATATCATGTTTTTTGACAACGAGAATTGTCATCAAGACTTTCCCTATCAAAAGATACCAACTCTACAATTGAATCAAGTTTCAAATGTTATAGATAACAAGGACATCGATGATGATGTTCAGATTATTGACAATTTGAAACTTGAGCCTTTGATGGAGCGACATGCAAAAAAGAGATGGCTTATGCATCTTCTTTAGTAAAAGTGATAAAATCATGACTTATTTTACCTTCACACGAGTTTGAATAAATTTTATAGAATTTTCTTCAGCAACGTGTAAATAGTGACCGTGTAATATATTTGTATTCATCTCTTAAGAAACAAAACACAATTTATTTATTTTTTATGTCCAACACACTCATTTAGGTAATAATTATTAAATCTCATCATTCTTCAAGCAGTGTAATGTATATCACACTTTATATACAAAATCGATAATATAATAAGAGACTTTGATATCATGTCCCCAATAGTTCTTACATATATGACTCTTATATTTTTAACAAATTTGATAACTTTTGAGATTTTGTTAGTTGATTTTTTTCCTAGACATATTTTTTATGTTAATGATGTTTTCTCATGCATGGTACAAGATTTCAAGTCAATTCCATAGAAAAGTTTAAAAAACTAGTCATGCTTTTCTTAATTTTTGACATTTTTATTTGTATTTGAGAAGTTAAAATATGTACGGGAGGAAGAAATATTAGGGTTTAGAGTAATTCTTATCACATTTTTATTATGCTTGAAAATTTAAATTGTATGAATCATAAATATTTTCTTATCATTCTTTATTTCTTCTCTGTTTATTATCGTCTTTAATGTTTCTACATAAGTATTATAGCAACAAAAGATCCAATTTATATTTTGATAGCAGTATAAAATTAAAATAGACATGCTTTTGAATAATTGAAATTGATTTACATAAAATTTAGCAAGATTTCCAATTTATTTTGTGGTTGCAAAAATTAATTTTGTAAATCTAATTCTTAAGAAAAATGAGTTGAATGTAAAACAAATTTTATTTAGATACACTCATATAAAAGTGAGATGAATAATAAATTTACAATAAAAGATCATATTGTTGCAGCAGTAAAGCGGCAAACAAAAAATAAAGTATTAATTTATCGGGTGATATTTATGTTATATCGTCTCGTGTCCACAAAGATTGACTATTGAATCGCCGTTCGACAAATCATTTGTTAATGAATTTGAATTTGAATGAGTTTGATTTGTATATAAAGGAAAATAAATGAACATAAAATATATACATTCAATGGAAAGGAGAAATCTATCAGGTATGAATTTAAACTACTCGTCGCAAACTTAAACATATTGATCAGCTGCACTCAACCTACTCAACTCGTCAAAATCATCACGGACACTATGAGATGTACCCACAACGAAGGTTATATCTAACACCAAGTCACGAGACCAACTATATTACTCTATCGACAATGTCTTGTGCGCTACAACAATACGGAGACATTAATCTTTAGCACCCAAAGTGAATATTAGCTCTAAACCCATCTCTAGAATCTAGAAACTAATAGATATTCATCCCTAATCAAGATTTGTGAGGTATATGTCTATAACAACTCAAATCCAAACATAAAGCAAAAAGATCAAAGATGACATCAAGATTGATTTGTAAAGCAAGCTTTATACAACACCATGATCAACAAATATACATCTGTTCAAAATGAATATACAAACATAACCCAACAAATAGAGAAATACATAGAGAAGAAATGGAGAAAAATCAAACATCTCACGGGTTGTCAGCGCCGATTGATGAGAAATCTGACTCCGGATCATCAAGATGCAAGCTCCATTTGTTGTTTTCAAGCTCTTTCAACCAAAAATGGAGGTTTAATGAGTTTGGATAAAAAATATCCAAAATATAACCTAAAAAAATGTGTTTTTACCCCTTTTAATGTGTTTCTGTCCTGCCAGTTTCGCCGGGCGAAATACACCAGAAGAAACAACAGAAAATTCTGCATTGTTTCGGTCATAATTTGAGTATCGTAACTCCGATTTACGCTCGGTTTGAAGTGTTGGAAAACTTATTCAATGATATTTCTAAAAATGACAAAATATCAACCAAATTAATGATTTTTTATTCTTTTATTTTGAGCCTTATTCATTGATGAGTTGCTCAAAATCGCGCGTTTGAAGCCGTGTCTTCGACACTTTATTGCTCATGCTCAAAATACACATCAATACCTATAAAATGAATGGAAAACTATAAAACGGTACAAAAATACAAAAAAACTAGATTAAATACAATTTATACATAATTATACAAAGAGCGTGGAATTATTCAAGGATATTAACAACAAATAGTCGATAAGTGTAACAAAAAGTATACAAAATAACTGCAATTTTGCACTTATCAAACTATCCCCAAATTGAATCATTGTTTGTCCTCAAACAAAGTAAAATATACCAAAGAACAAAAAATGATAAATCAAAGAATCACGAATCAACGGGTTTTGAAAACTGAAAACAAATGCAATGGTTCAAACAAAAAAATAGTACACACAAAGTAAACACTTGCCACTAAACTACGACTATAACATAAACACGAAATAAATGCTAAATTCAAAAATCATGCCAAACATTCTAAGAAAATACTAGTTCACAAATGAATCACATCTAGCAAACACAATCATCGGTAGATGAAAAACACACAAAAATAGGGTATTTTCACTCATCCAACAATTTTGCAAACAATAGACTAAATTATACACTCATCCAAAAATCATGTTGAAAACATAAAAGCAAGAATCTCAAGGGCTTTTCAAGGTTGTAATGTAGTTTGGTTAACAAACAAGTGATAATTCCGAAAACTAATCAAAACAAAAAGTTGCTTAAACCTAAGGGAGTAATTACTTCCACAAAGTTTCAAACAAAATAATTCAAATCACAATTCTTCTTCATCACAAGTGTTACACCAAAAACATATCACTTATTAACACAACATTATTCCATACTTTTTTATTTTTCCTTTTAAAAGTTTTTCTATTTTTTCCTTTCTTTTTCTATCACTTCTTTTTCACATTTTTTTCTTTCTTTTCTTTTTCTTTTCAACCTTCTAGCAATCAACCAATTAATACACAATCATTTTTCTCCCCAAATTGAATTCAACCAATATCTTAGTGAATACTCCATACTTTCTAAGGCAATTTAAAAATTCAAACCAAAACAGTGGTTAAGGGTTCAAGAAAACAATGAATCAACATCCATGCAAAAATGGAAACTAAACACTCATAGACAAACATTTAGCACATACAACATGGATATCGACAAAAAGCTCAAAGGGGTTACTAATAATCACACACTCACAAAGTGAGTTGACTATTTGGCTAGGTAGTTATGCTCAAAATGAAACAAAAATACCTTGATCCTTTTCTTGCATTCATACAATCAACACAAAACAAAAGATTAAGCATAATAAAATCAAGTTAAAACAAGAATTGTGGCCTCCAGCATATGTGAACAATGGAAAACTACTTCACAAAAAGGGTGAGAACTAAAGTGATTCATAAATGAACATGTATACAAAAGAATAAATGGCATAAAAATTGTAAAAAGTCTAAGTATCATGAATACGCTAAAATATAGAAAGTGATAAACACATACCTCAAACGTGTACAAAACTTTAACAAAATTATTACCATACATTCGCAAGTCGAAACGATCAAACTTGACAACTCGTCTCAATATTCTACAAGTTACTGGACCAAAACTTGAGTCCAAACAACAACAAAAAAAGAATTAGAAAAATAATACTCCTACAAAATTTCAATGTACAAAATTTACAATATTTACAATGAACAAAACTCCTCTAGCTAAACACGACAAGCTTTCGAAAAACACAAATTGACATAACAAAACAAATACAAATAACAATATGAAAATTGGGTGAATATGAATTAGCAAGTTGAAAAGTGAAGATTTAAAATTTAAAAACTAATATGAGTTCAACTTGTTAAATCACAAGTCACCATACTACCTAAACTAACACAAATAAAAACAATACAACATGCTTGTTTTACGTCGTAAGCTCGACACCTTTATTGTGTAAGCCAATAACCTCCTATTGTCATGCCATGGTATTGTCACACCGTGCAAACCTAAAGAAAGTGTCCTAACAATCACATAACAAACGTTACGAAAACGAGATAATTCACAACAATACATGAAAACACATATATGCACAAATATCATATACAAGTTAATGTACAATTTTTATACAATATATACATTAATTTCAAAACTCAAAAACAAAAGAATTATCGCAATGCGAAAACAATAGAACCAATCCCCGACAACGGTGCCATTTTGTTCCAGTGGTAAAGTGGCAAGCAAAAAGTAAATTATTAATTTACCGGGTGGTATTTAGGTTATATCGTATCGTGTCCACAGAGATTGGTTATTGAATCGTCGTTCAACAAATCATTCGTTAATGAGTTTGGGGTTTGAATGCTATAGAAAAGTATCAACAGAAAATAAATGTAAACAAAAGAAAAAAAACTAAGGAAGAACTTATCAAGTCTACATATAATCTACTCATCACAGACTTAAATCTATCGACCGGTTACATTCAACCTAACAATACTCATCAATGTCACTATGTATCACTCACAATCTAAGTCATTTCTAACCCAAATTGAGAGATTGGCTGTATCACTAAGGAAATAATCTCTCTACCTCCTCAACAACACAGAAGACAACTATGTAATCGCACTGACAATCTCTCGATAGCACAACCACACAAAGACATTAAGCTCTGATACCCAAGCAGATGTAAGTTCTAAATCTATCTCTAGTGTTCAGAAACTAATAGATAATCATCCTAGATAAGAATCTAAGTAGTATATGTCTATAACAACTCAAATTCCTAGCACAGAGCAAAAATCTAAGACAACAATCAACAAAGATTTGTAAAGCAAGTTTAATATAACGCCATGGGCGAGAAATATACATAAGTTCAAAGTAAAATACAGGCAAAACCCAACAAAAGAGAAATACATAGAGAAGAGAAGAGATCAACCACAAATCTTCTGGTTTTTCAGCTCTGGTCAATGAGAAATCTACCTCCAATCATCCATAAGCAAATCCCTGGTGTTGTTATCTAAGCTAATCCACTACAAAAATAAGGTTGATGGAATTGGGAGAACAAAAACTCACCCCCAA